CGCTTTGGGTGCCTTGAAAAGCGCTATATAAATCCAATCCATTATCATTATAACTTCACATCATACACAGATCTTATTTAAAAATTAGGGCATGCCTAAGTTCTAATTTGCAGTTTATCAAATGCCAGTTGGAAAGTACACGCGGTGTAACTTCAGCTAGCAAAAACACACAAAACACAAACAGTGTGTTTGCTACTATTTGTTGAGCTGATAGAGAAGTTTCATTTGAAATTACCTGAGTTATTCCCTTTTAATGTACCCCTCCTGTGTAGTGCTAGCTTGACACTAAAGTACCGAGACCACAACGGACAGACACCTGCACCAAAAACACCACTTCAGCCCACTTTCACCCCTAGTTAGTAGGGGTTTAAACTGGTTTGATGTTTGGATTTTTTGACATTATATATAAAGAGTAATAATTGTAATACCTCAAATTTGTTTTCATATTCTTATGGTCCTCATTTTTATTTTAGTTTAGATTATTTCTAGTTGCACAGGGGGAAAAGACATTATGGGCCAGTCTGTTTCCTGTAAATATTGCAGAATAATAAAGTTGATTTCTTTTCTTCTAAACTTCTTTTATAAAGGTGGTCACATTTGCTGCTGATTGGCCACTACTTACTCTCTTAATTTTTCTGAAAGCAATAAAGGTGTTATTACTTTTTCATAGGTTGCCTCTGCATGTTAGCTTCATTTTTCTTAAATAAATAGTGATGTTGTACTTTGTCCCAAAGAGAACCCACATGGGTACGAAATTATAACCTGTCACAATCAAACCCAGGAACCTCTTTCTGTGAGATGACAGGGCTAACAACTACACTACCCTTAAAGCTGAAGCCATTTAACTATAAAATGATATTTTATTGTAAAGACATATATACCATTGTTTTCAACATAATGCGTTTTCTTCTTATTGTTGTCAATAGGAGCGCCGTGGATCTCCACCCACACTTGTGGGTCCACAATGGAGCTGGGCTTATCCCATTCTGGTTTAGGCAGCTGCTGAGCTGAAATGACCTGGAATAACAACAAAGCAAGAGAGATCTTTATTTAATTAAAGTATCATTATAGATTGGAGAAGAAGAACCCACTCAAGAAATAGACAAATTTCTTTAATGGGTTATGTTTGGAATCAATATTGAGTCAACTAGAGCTTTCTAAAATCGTTACAATAAGAAACATTTGGTCACCAAGCTTAAAATACAGGTTTAGTTTCCATCTTACCCGAACAGTGAGCATGACAGGTTTGTGGCCAGGACCTCCTCCCACATTCTCAGGATTGAAAGTACTGTCAGGCTGACACAAGAAGGCAGGTTTCAGAATGTACCCACACTCACCATTCTGCAGAAACCTGCCTTGGTTCAAATCCATCTGCTCACCAGGTGTTTGGAAGTTCAGAGCAACTGGAGAAAACAAAACATCAGTGTGAAGAGCATGCAGGCCTCC